CAGCCATGCTGGCTGGGGAATTCTGGAGTTGAAGTCCACTCATCTTCAAGTGGCCAAGTTTGGACAACACTGTTCTAAGATAACACTGATGTTTACCTTCGGCCACAGAATAACACATGAGGAAGTCAGCACCAGCAGGTAAGGTGTAAACTGCAGCAGCATCAACTTTGGTTTCATTGATTAGTGGGTCTTCTGTAGTGCTATCCACAGTATCATAAGCATCGACTGGATCATCATGCTTGTCTCCTCTGCATGCCTAAAATTAGGGATAAAATGCTGTTGGAAATGAAATTCTGCATCTTTAGTCACTGATAAATCCCAGCGTTCCATTGTAGATCCAGAAAAGTTCTTCACTTAGATGACTGAACATATAAATGCCTTTTAATTATGCATTGCTGCAAACACCAAAGTAATAATGCTTTTAATTTTTTTTTTTAAAGGTGAAGCCTATTCTTACACAAGGACCCTTAAACACAAGCAGAATCTAAGGTAATTCTGGCATTTCTTCCACCCATCCACTATTCTCCCACTACAAATTGGCAATTGCAGATACAAATTCTCTACAAACTTTGGTCATAAATCCTCATATAAGTTAGGTTACACGTGTGTAGGCATACCAAAGTATATCATGTTTTGGCTAAATGTCCCAAATGTTATCACTTCATTTTTGTATCTTCTGCATTTAAAAGTGTTGCCCTTAATATACAGTGGTCTAATTCCTCTCTTTCAATAAGATCAATTTTAATCCCATATTATAAACAGAGCTGTAGATTCAAGAACTCACCTGAATTATGAATATTTTTGGCTTCCCTATTAGGCTAGGGCACTTGTCACCTCTGAACATATTGGTCAGCATTTGTATGTTTATTTTAGCATCATAGGCATAAACGTGATTATCTTCTCCATGGCTCAGGAAAACACACACAAAGCAATCTGCATCTTCATGTTGACCTGTGGACACTACAAAAAATGATGTTACCATTTATCTACATGCAGAAATTACTTTTATATCGGTGGCTATTAAAGTAGTGAGGTGTGAACTTCCCTTGGCTTGCTTTGGACATAAATTAATCAAACCATTCCACTTCTCCCACATGCGAAACAATTTTATTTTGAGCTGGATTTAGAAATTTAAAACACAATTTGCACTCCATTACTCCCTGGTGCCCACTGCATCTTTAAAACTATCTTATAAGATGCCACAACTGCTTGCTTTTTAGACCTTACAGCCTCCTGTGCTGCTGCTCCTCCATTTTGTGTAGCAGGGCAGTGACAGCAAAGACATCTTAAAGCTTATTTTCCACCTTATTTCTTAAAAATTAGGGATGTACAAAACTCATCAATTTGGGAATGGAACCTTACAAAGAACAAAACGTACTGAATCTCCTCCGGACCTTGTTGCTCCACAGGCAGTTTCCAGAAGCAAATTCTCTGAACTGAAAATGGTGATCAAGGGTAATCCAGCCCCAAAACAGGCCTGCTTCATCTGGAATGACATGCCTGAGACAGCTCAAATCATTTCCAGTTTAGAGAATTTACCTCCATAAACCACTGAACAGCTAGAATAGCATAATCTGGAGAATGTTCAGCATGATTTGGAAGGAGAACAGAATGCTCTTGAATTCTTCACAACATTCTGTTCCTCAACTGGTGAGTTTTGCATATCCCTAATAAATGCTACTTTTCATTTTTAGATTTTTTATCCTGCTCTTTTTTGTTTTTATAAATAACTCAAGGTGGCAAACATACCTAATACTCCTTCCTCCTCCTATTTTCCCCACAACAGCCCTGTGAAGTA